GCTTTCAATAGATTATAAAGACTTTTCACTGACAGTATTTGATAATCGACTTCAACCGATATATTTGTATTTTCTGGGGGAGAAGAGAGTTTTGACGTATTCGCGGATGGTTTTGAGACGTTTCTGTTGCGTGATAGGCTAGGCTGGGGAAGCTACTGGAAAACAGTGATCACCTGCTCTCTATTGTAAATTGATTTTCCTCACATAAAAGCCAATGCTTTTTCAAAACTGAACTGGATACTCCGAATCAGCATAAAAATCTACATCGAACGATATACCTTGCATTAAAAGTGGAAACGAAAATGTTTTCGACCTCACTGTGGTCCCCCACAGGCCCCACGTGGGCCCTTAAAAACGAAAGTCGGTTCCGTGCAAAAAGAGTCGAACTATTCTACTCGGGACTCAATACGGATTCGCAATATCTAATTCTTCAACTCTTTTTCTATGCAACTCTCTTCGGAAAATATTTCAGATGAAAGAGTGGTTTTATCGACAGTTGTCCTTTCAGAAACAGTTGAATTTCTCTTCAATGAAACAAAATATGGACAAACTAATGTTATACTTTTGAAGCGCAATGTCTGGTGGTTCTAATGATATATGAAACTTAACTATATGTTGAGATGCAAAAAAGTAGATAGCTTCGCAAAAATATTCATGAACGACTATTTTTCTAGGTTTTTACATTATCGCTTATCCAATTCATCAGTACTTTTTCGTTAATGAGGATTCAAAATAAGCTTAGCGGACGCAGTTTTTCAAGGAGAACTTGGATAAATAGTTTCCATAAATTAAACAGGCTGAAAAAGACCGAACATTTTGAATAAACATTAAAAGGTTAGATTTTTGCATGAGAAAATGAGTTATTGAGAATTATCGAAAACAATCAAGTTCTTTTTCAATATAAAAATTTAAAAGATATTAAAACATATATACCCTGACTCAGCTCGACGAGCTCTATCTAACCGTATGAAAAAGATGGGAAAAAAATTTGCTTGTATTTTGCATAAAGTGCACCTTAGAAGGATAAATATACTTGTGAGAAGACGAGTTTAACGGTAAGTGTATTTTTTCAAGTGCAAGTGGAAAGCTTTTGCTTGCTGTGCTAACATTCGCTCGAGCTCTCTGTGAGATCAATACTTTGGATTCTATTGATGTTTCATGCAACTAAATAATTAGAGCGGATATATCGATAGCAAAAAAATTAGCCGATTGCAATTTAAACCGTTAAATATATTGTAGATAAAAGTGATTTCACACTGGAATGACTTTTACGCAGGCCAAGCTGATGGCATTTGGCTGCCACTTGCTCATTCAAGTTATAGTAGCCCTTGTGTATAAATTATCGCAGAAGAATGGAAAGTACTCGTATTCTACGATTTCTGCTATCACTCTAGCAGAAGCTATAAAACTGTGCATCAGTTTGTATTTCACATGTTATTTTGCTGTTGCCGAAGGGAAAAGCGCGCCTAATTCTAGCAAGATAAGCAGTTTATATAGCAGATTAATTTTATGTCGAACTACAATGCAAGAACAACTGAGTAGACGGTTTTTCATGCAAGTCTTTTTACTTGCTTCACTATACTGTATAAACAATCAAATAGGATTTATCCTATTCCAGTATGTTGATATTGCTTCTATTTCGTTGTTCAAATCATTCACTCCATTTCAAGCAGCCATCGTGTGGTGGATGCTTCTTCTGCGTCCCATTAATCGTTTGCAATGGAGTTCAATCATTTTACAAGTGACAGGCCTCATTATCGTTCAATATGACGTATGCAAGAAAATGACAGTACTAAATGCAAAGCTGTATACTATTTTGATTATTAGCTGCACTATAACATCAATTTGTACAGTATGGAACGATTATTTAATAAAAAACTATTCTGTGAATCTTCACATCCAGAATTTAACATTGTATGGGTCTGGCGCAGTAATTAATTTATGCATTTTTGTATGTTTCAACGAATGTATTGAAGGCTCCTCTAAAGGTTTTTTCGAAGGATATTCCATGATTGCCATGGCAGTTGTTCTTTGTAATTCTATATTAGGACTTGCTACTACTGCGGTGTATAAGTATACAGATGCAATAATTAAGACCTTCAGTACAGCTTGTGCTACTGCTGTTTTATTGTTTTTGAACTGGAGCTTGTTTAACCGTCCAACAAATTTAAACGCTGTCTTGGGTGCTGTAGTGATCTTTATATCGGCTTACATTTACTCTTCTGCTGGAACCATCCCACAGTTAAATCAAATTCATGCATCGTCAAACGATCCGCAGAATATCACTGATGGCGTTTCGATGGATCTAGAAAGAAATGTCAAACCCAAACGACAATTCAGAAAAAGTTTGCTATTTTTCTGCCGAAGTCTGCTTATTGGAGCCGTTATTCTAACATGCTTATCTTCAATTAGTTATTTTTTGTTGCTTCGCCAATAGAGCTCTGTTCGATTCGATCCGTAACGAGCTCAATGTGTACACTCAGTGTAAGTACTTGCATCTCTTAATTGAACTGGGTGCTTCCTATGCAAAAGTTCTCATGCATACATTGGAAATCATTCGTGGGTAGCTACCAAGACCGATTTTATGCTTGCTTCAATGACTTCTCAAATGACTGAAAGCTTTCTTCACGGATTTCGAAAAGCGAAAAAGAATAAATTCAGAATGATTAATAGAAAATCTTGAAGTTTTTCACTTCTATCGATAAAGCATGATACAGGTGTATGCTAGTATCGATGGAGTCATGAAGAATAAAATAGTTAATGAGGATGTTTGGGTGAGAGTG